GTACTCCTTACGTTCGCCTACAGATAGTTAATAGCTATACAAGTAGTATTAATTATTAATTTTATGTGTTTAATCTTGTTTCATACTTTTTGTAGCAGGATCCCTACTTCATTTTAAAATTCATAGTTTTTAATACTCTTGTTTGTTTACTTGTTATACTCATATAAAGTATATACTTTATCTATAGCAACTGTCGTGTGTTTATCAATTGATATTTAGCGCCATCTGTTGGGTTGAAAAGATATTTAAGTTTGTGCATAATATGTTTACCATTTAAAAAAAAATCTATATATATTTATCGGAATATCAAAAGTGGATACCCACAGACAAGTCAAATAAACTGGAGAAATCTTGTAGTGATAGTTCGAGCCGTCTAGGGGCTAGCCCCATTGACGTGATCAGTTAGGTAGGTAGGTAGTAGACGAAAAAATTGCTGTTTTATAAATTTTTGAATTGTTATATCGAAAATATTAGCCATCTTTTAACGTATTATTAGTACATATGCGCACAATATATCGGAACCAATGCTTTGAATGGTCGGTTTTTCGCTTAGGAATTCAATAGGGTGGTTTTTCGGCGCGTCAATTATTTGGAAACCTTGCCGTTCCCTACTATTAAGTACTATCGTACTTCATAACTTTCAGTTTCTAAACTATTTCTAAGAGTGAATGAAGAGCCTGGAGTTGTGCCAACATGCATATTTATAAATTAAAATTAATTAATAGTTTCTTATGCCATCTTGGGCTAATATCACAAGAACATAATTATTGTAATGGGTTCTCTTTTTTTTATTACTTTATCGTAAGCAAGCAAGATAAAAAAAATTGTTTATAAGTTTCGCGTAATAATTAGAATAAAACATATTTAAGTTCAAAAATTTACTTAACCCTTTAAATGTTTTGCAAAATTAAAGCCATGCAAAAAATCATTTATTTTTCTGTTTACTGACTAAAGTTAAAGCTCTTAATAAATCTCTTTAACAATATTCTGAAGTGGAAACCTTTGGATACTTTAACTCCCCTGTTATTCGTGCATTTCTGTTCAAAACTGTGAAAAAAAAATTCAGAAGAAAATGTTTTTTTTTATTATTCAGACTTTTTATTATCATAATAATGTACAATGGAAATCTGCATGTCTTCAACTGAGGTTAAAACTCAATTAGCAACCCTTTGGAAATTTTTAAATAACAAAACAATCGCAACATGTTCCGGTGAAAGGTTTTCAATATTTGCAATCTCTCTGAATTTATTGGTAACCCTAGAGAGTTTAATGTTTTCAATACAATAAAAGACCTTGAGAATTGGGGATTTCAAGTTTTAGGGACAGATATGACTATTTACGCTTTAAAGGGATGAATATATTTATCAAAGCTTTGTAATCGCAAAATATTGAGTTTTTTTAGCTTTTAAATGTTTTTTTTTTTTTAATTTTGAGTGGATGTGGCACGTTCTTTAGAAACGAACTTCAGTTCAAAGAATCCTGCATCTAAACGTTTTCTGAGTTGATAAACCTTGTCATATTATATTATGTATAAATAAATCTTATTTTAGTACCCCTTTTTAATTCAACATCAATTCTCGTTTTTCAAATATTTGATGAATTCTTTCCTGTAATTAATGAGAACTTTAATAAACATAGAGATAGAAATATTTAGTTAAATCGATAATTCTACCTACACTATATAGAAAAACAGAGAATATTCATTCATACAATGAATCGGTTAACTGTCTTTTCATACACCTTAATTAGATTCAATTATCTAGTAAGATATTAAGCTAAAGTACTCACAATGGCAGCAACTAACATTAAATTACAATTTTTTAATGAAGGAATATGGAAATACGAGAATAATGTAGTTTAAAAATAGAAGTTCCAATTGATCGTGTATATAGAAATATTGCATACTTACAAGAAGCTTCCTAGACTAAACTACGTGAAACCCTTCTACAAGTTTGGAGCAGTTCTAAGAGTTGAATTTACATCAGGAGGGATGAAAGATTTCCTTCAAGACCAGTCCAATGTGAGGCGGAAAGGTATAGTCAAAATATGGCACCAGTGGTCCTTAAGTCTATTCAAGACTTGGCATTATCACAATACAGTTTTTCTGGTCTCCATTGGCTAAAGACAGTGTTCCACCCACATCACAGAAAACGTAACGTTGTCTTTAATTTTTACCAGTTAAAAAGTAACCAGGAAAAAATTTTTGGGGGGTTTCATTCCAGACGCAACACAGCTCGAAGCCAGTCAACACACGTTGATTACGTGTCGCGGACTCCCAGCAAGTGGATAGGAAGCTGTAGGAAACAGAGATAACCACAACGATCGTGTCACGTGATAGCTGCTACTAGACTCTAAGGAGGAAAACGCACCAGTGTTTTACCAACAAGTTGCATGGCATGTGAGGTGCAACATGTTATAATGAATATCGCGAAGTGAGAAGCCTGCTAGCAACATCGCCAAACTCAGAATTATTCTCAAATAAGAGAAACTCGTCACCGTGTTATTGACTTGACCTCAAGACCTCTCCTCTATCCTGTTCAGTTATTTCGTATAACGTACACAAAACACCACGAAGGGAAATTCATTATGGAAACACCCCATTTGTGTTGACACAGCATTCGCAATGGTATTTGTCAAAAACAATCTCTAAGATCCCGAGTTAAGTCCTAATTTTATTAAAAAACAATCTCTAAGATCCCGAGTTAAGTCCTAATTTTATTTAAAAAAAACAATATCTAACATCCCGAGTTAAGTCCTAATTTCCTTAAACACAATCTCTAAGATCCCGAGTTAAGTCCTAATTTCCTTAAAAAACAATCTCTAAGATCCCGAGTTAAATCCTAATTTCCTTAAAAAACAATCTCTACCGAGTTAAGTCCTAATTTCCCTATCTTGAGCGTGGTCTTTAATTATGTGCTACTTATTGTTTACTGGTTATATCATAGTGATTTTTATATACCAAACCTAACTCATTTCTCAAAATGTGTACATTCTATAACGATTTCGTATAATATATTATTTGTGTGTATAGTCAAAATACCTTTTGGATAAATGTCGTACTCTCCATGTGTTAATGGCGTTATGTAAAAAATACGAAGACCCAATGAGTGATATTTCAGATACAAATTAACGTTACGAAAGAGTTAAAGATAGGCCTAATGGGCGGTCTGAACAATGTTATGCTAGACAAATAATACAAAAAGTTAATCAGTAGTCTGATTATGGTTGCATATACCTGAAAAACTACAACTAATTAATCATCGATGTTTAAATGCTCTATCAATAACAGATCGTGGATTATAAAGAAATGCCCTTTATAAAGCTAAGATATATGGAAGTTGGTCTCACCTTTTCTTCAAGAAGAAAAACAACAAAGTTGACAAGACAGAGTACGTGACTTTTCGTACTGATAACCAAACTGGAAGATCGTATTTGGCAGACAACGAGCTCGTTTTATGCTGTGTGGTAGATTGTTGAAAGCACCATGAATCAGAAGTTGAATTTATGATGGGAACAACGCATGCCTTCCTTGTCCTTGTGGTGATGACAAGAGAAAATATAAATAAAGTTTAATCATATTGGAGAAGTCCCAATTCTGATTGTTATGACAGAATTTGAGTAATGCTATCATCCAAACATCGTTTTTATCGGAAGAGATGATAGTTAGTCAGCGTGTAACTGAAAGGAAATTAGTTGCTCAACCAAAACTTCTTGAACGTAATGTAATTTGTTATGTTGCTTTTTCGACTACAAAAAAATCTTCAACACATACAGCCCCCCCCCCCAGTGGCACAGTGGTATGTCTGCGGACTTACAACGCTAGAAACCGGGTTTCGATACCTGTGGTGGGCAGATCACAGATAGACCTTTGTATAGCTTTGTGCTTAATAACAAACAACACATACACTTAAAAGTCGTGTATTTCTCATATTTCGCTTCTAATTGCAGCATTTAGACGGCATATTTTTTGCTATTAAGTAAAAAAAAACATACACACAAAATGGACTTTCTATACTGTACGCACCGCAAGGATCAAACCTCGAATTTTACCGCTGAGTCACGGGTGGTTTGCACATGTTATATTCTTGTAAATGTTACTTTACTTTGCTGCCATACATGACTTACTCTGAAGTCAACGAAAAATTACGACGTTTTGATATAAATATAATTACTTAGAAAATGCCCATTTTAGCTATGAGAATTCACACAATAAAATATCGTGGTATTTACTACTTGAAATTAACTGGTATAGATACCAATCTTTTGTTGTTGTTTTTTCGAATTTGATGTATTTAGATTACATAGTATTTTTGCTTCTCTAGTATTGGAAGAGTATTTTCTATTTCACTTCGGGCCCTCCTGTAGTTTAGTGGGAAATCCGATGGCTTATAACGCTAAACACTACTATTGAAAAGAACAATTCATTTTACTTTCGGAATATGGCCAAGCAAGGTCTACTGACTAACCTGTCGGACGGTGGATTGAAAGGTCTGGAGCTCGAGATGTGCTATCGCTGAACACGCCCCACACTTTCAGCTGTGGGGACGTTATAAAAGTAATAATCAATCCCTTTACTCAGTTCAAAGAACAAGATCCTGTCTTTGTGGCGGCAGGAGCTGTTGGCTGGCTACCTTCTTTTATTGTGGCTAATAATTCAAAATTAGTGTCGTTTATAGCTGAATACTAGAGATATCTGCGCTGGCTGTTTAGGCCACCTACAGATAAAGTGCTGTTCTGGTTGAAAATTCCAGTTCGAACTTTCAGCTATGCTCTTTTAAAATTACATGTCTAAATGTTGTATTAATTTGTAGAACTGTATCATGATTTTACGTTAACGTACTGAGTAATATTTTTTTCTTCGTGAATCATTAATTTCAGTCGAATTAACAGAGTACTAGAAATACCGTGTTTCCAATCTCTCAATGATTTTACAACTTGTCTAATTTATATGATCTGAGAAATATCCTAAATAATACTCTTTATTGTTGTACTGTCTAGCTTTTAACGTATCAATCATATTTTATTACATACATGAAATTTAAGTAATCATTTAAATATTTGGTACGGAGACTCAAAGTAATTAAATTAAAAAGTTCTTATTTTTTAACATTTTACGAATCGCAACTAAACATAATACAAATGTCAGCAGATAAATCATATAGTTTAAGTTGTTTTGCAACAACAGAGAGAATGCTTTAATTATTAAGGGTTTCAAAATTATCCCTCCAGAAACTGAGCCTATCGTATTTCCTTTGAACTAATGTGCTCAACAAAACTCGTCTGTTCCGTAAAGCATACGATAACATGTTTTGTATTGTATGAAACCGCCGTTCCGCTTGAAACTTTATATTTTTCATCCAACTATAAAATAGTTCAAAATCCTACGTCTTTCTTTTCAATATTTATACGTTTTTTTTTCCTTTATAAGTTTACTGGAGGAAAGGTAATTGTAGCACAATTTACTTATAGTTCAAAGAGTGTTCATTAAATAGTTTAATGAAATGTAAAGGGTTTCCCGTCATATATTATTCCACAAATCCATATAACGTCCAGGTATTTTTATTCTTGCAACTTTTGAAAATTGGAACCAGCGTCAAATTTTTGTTTACGCTAATGATCTAAGATGCACAAAAGATGCACTACGTAACAGTATAGGTTTATCAAAGGGACTTGAGTTCTCCTATTCATGTAGAATCTCTAATTGTTCATTAGTCCACAAAGTCAAGAAAGTTTTTTATCGAGTTACATTGTGTTTTGCGCATTATTATAGAATTAGTAGAATATAATCATGTTCATTGACAGCTAGTCAAATTATTGTACTCCTATTGAAGAAATAAAATATTCTTTGTAGTTAACATATTTATAGACAAGTGTGTTAAGTCTTATCAAAATAGCATATAACTTAAAAGGATTTCAGAGTAAGCTAATTGTCAAGGACTTTGGATAATTAAAAGCCGTTGTCTCATAAACCATGTTTAAGATCTAACTTCTCATTTTACTGTTTTTTGATGATAATTAAATTCAGTGATAAGACTGTGAGTGTGGGTGTACGTAGAAATCATGTAAAACTCTTTTGTTTGTACTTTCGCATAAATATTGATCGACTATGACATTTTAAATAGTAATGTTTGTTTGTTGTTAAGTGCACTATTACACAACGTACTATTTATGCTATACCCGCTGAACTGTTGTAGGGCAAGATATTGTAACTGTCTCACAGGTACGATGTTCTCAGTTAGAAGTGGAGTCAGCTGGCTTGTCACTAAAACCGCAATGGAAAAGGTTCTGAAAATCTATATGCAAAGCGTGAATAAGCCAAACTCGACAAAAAAAGAAACAGAAACGTGACCGTAACTATGGCATTATTATTACTCTCATTGCCACCCCCCAGTGGCACAGCGGAATGTCTGCGGGCTTACAACACTAGAAACCGGGTTTCGATACCCGTGGTGGGCAGAGCAAAGATAACCCTTGTGTAGCTTTGGACATAATTAAAACAAACAATTACTCTAATTAATTATACTTGTCATAGGACATCATGTTAGACCTATTGTATTTTTAAACTCTACATTGTTAATCTAATTCCTCAGGGATTGTCAAGAATTATAGTGTATGATAATAGTATTTCACCCACACTATATATTCATTCGTTGCCATAACAATTTTTGTTCTAACCAATGGCCTATATAAATAATATTCCGACCACTACTGTGTTCGTTGTATCCCAGCCGGCCTGAAGAGCTCTGGATTGAACGAAAAGAATCGTCGGTAGTGAATATGACAAATATAGTGTATTTCAAATACTATTATTATACACTCTTCTAATTCTTGAACTTCCCTAAGGGAATAGATTAATAATGTAATAGTAAAAATATAATAAGCCTAACATAATGTCTTATGGCAAGTGTAATGAATTATAATTATGCTTGTAAAAGACGTTCACGCCATAACATTTGATTTTTCTACTCTTCCTTTCAGTATTACAACTGAAACATCAGTGACAGATGGCGCATGAAATCCATCTCTCAATGTATGACCAACATTTCTGTAAAACAGCATAATATCGATTTTGCCTACAGTACTGGACAATTATGAAAGTAAATCTGATAAAGGAATTATGATTATATTCAATGATAACATCCATCGTAACTACCCAGAATGTCACGCCACCAATTTAGTCAGACAAACTCCATCAACAGATGATAGAAACCAAAATTGTTCCTACTTTGCACATGAACAACGCGGTAAATCTCTCTAAGGGTAA